CGATGTAGCGCAGGAGGGGGGCAGGGGGCCGGGCCAGCACCTCCTGCCCCACCAGCGGCTGCAGCACAGGGGGCACCCGGACACGGCCGTCCTGGGGGGGTGACACAGCGTGGGGTGAGCCCCCCCCGAACCCCCCCCGACTCCCGCGGGACCCCCCCCAAAACACTCACCGGGAGCTGGTTGCACTCGAGGAGCGCGATGAGCATCCGGGACACGGCACAGGCGGTGCCGTTCACCTGAGGGGGCACATGGGGTCAGGGGAGCGCTCAGGGACCCCCACCCCAGGGTTTTGGAGCTGTCCCGTGGATTTTGGGGGGTCACCCACCGTGTGGGCGTGGCTCAGCCGGCCCCCCTCCCCGCTGTACATGATGTTCAGCCGCCGGCTCTGGTAATCCGTGCAGTTGGAAGCACTGGAAATCTTGGGGGGGTGGGGGGAGAGGGGTCAGGAGGTCTTGGGTACTCCCTCCCCTCTCCTCCACTCCAGGGACACCCCAAAATGGGGGTCCTGATCCAGCAGCAAGGGCAGGAAGAAAGGGGAGCCATAAACAGGGAATAAAGGGGGGGGGTCACCCTGGGCACCTCTGAATTTTTAGGGTGTCCCCAGAATTAAGTTCTCCCCAAATTACTGGGGCTCTCCCCGAATTTTCAGGGTGCTCCCCACATTATTTGGGCTCTCCCTGAATTGTTGGGGTCCCAGACTCCCCCTCACCTCCCCGAATTTGCCCCGTCCAGGCATCCAGGCCTCGATGTCAAACTTGCGGTAGGCGGGGAGCCCCAACTCCTCTGTGGGCATGTCCAGGACGCTGGGGGGCCCGGGGGGGGGAACAGTTATGATGGATTTCGGGGTCCCCACGGATTGGGGGGGACTCCCCCAAAAACTCCCCTCACCGGTAATGGAGCCCCAGCTCCGAGAAAATCTCCTTCTGGAGCGCCAGGAACTCCTCCAGCAGCTCCTCGCTCTCCGTCCCGCGCTCGGCCGCCGTCACCCCGAACATCTCCACCTTGCGGGGTGGGGGGACACGGGGGTCACCCCCTGCCTTTCCCCCCCCCTCCCCAGGGGTCTCCCAGTGCTCCCAGTACCTTGGTGAACTGGTGGACGCGGTAGAGCCCCCAGGGCTCCTGGCCCGTGTCGGTCTCGGCGCGGTAGCAGGTGCTGGAACACACCACCCTGGTGGGGGGAACACGGGTAAGGGGGGGCCCCAAAACATCCCAGAGCCCCCCAGAGAATCGGGGTGGGGTCCCCAGAAGGGGAAGGGGTCTGGGGGGGACACAAGACCCCCGTACCTGACAGGCAGGTCCTGCAGCTGCACAGCGTGGTCCATGAAATAGCCTGGATGGGAGGGCACAGGGTGACCCCTAAATCCATCTGCTCCCCTCTTTCTCCACTTTTTCCCTGTTTTCTTCCCTTTCCCCCATTTTTTTTCCTGTTTTCCCATGGTTTTCCTGCCTTTCCTCCTCCTTTTTTCCCTATTTGCTCATTCTCCTGATGATTTTTCCTCTTGGATTTTCCCTGCTTCTTCTCCCCTTTCTTCCCCATTTTTCTCCTGTTCTCCCCCTATTGTTACTTCTTTTTCCCCTTTTCCCCCTATTTTTTCCCATTTTCCTCATGTTCTTCCCTGGTTTTCCAGGGAAATTTTTTTTTTCAAATATAATTTAAATTAAATTAAATATAATTAAATTAAATATAATTTAAATATAATTTAAATTTAAAAAATATTTTTCAGGGAATGATAATAATAATAATAATAATAATATTAACATAATAAAAATAAAAATAATTTCCAGGTAATAATAAAAATAATAAAAATAGTAAAAATAATAAAATAATAATTAAACAATAGAAATTAAAATAATAAAAATTAAAATAAAATAATAAAAATAATAAAAGAATCATTTCCAGGGAATTTTCACATGTTTTCCCCTGGTTCTCCCCGATTCTCCCCCTCCCCTGCTCCATTTACCCCCCGGCTTTTCCCAATTTCCGCACGTTTTGCCCCAATTCCCACCTGCAATTCCCACTTCCGAGGTCCCAGCCAGGCACAGATCCTCGAAGCGTGCAGGGTCAATGGTGTAAACTGGGGAGGGGGTAGCGCTGGGCTGGACCCCACAGCCCTCCTGGGGGGCACAGGGGGTCACTTGGGATCACCGAGGGGCCGGGAAGGTCGAGGGGGGGCTCAGAGCTCACTCACAAAAACGGCTCCTCGCAGCAGGTCCGGCACCGTCATGGGCAGGAAACCCTGGGGAAACGGGAGGGCTGGAGACCACCCCCCTCCTGGGAGCCCCCTGAGCCTCCCTGGAGCCCCCCAGACCATCCCTGGATCCCCCCAAACCATCCCAGAGACCCCCAGACCATCCCTGGATCCCCCTAAACCATCCCAGAGCCTCCCTGGAGCCCCCCAGACCATCCCAGAGCCTTCCTGGATCCCCCTAGACCATCCCAGAGACCCCCTGGGTCCCCCCAGACCATCCCAGAGACCCCCTGGGTCCCCCCAGACCACCCCAGAGACCCCCTGGGTCCCCCCAGATCATCCCA